AACTGGTTCATGGGGGAAGCAAAATCGTTATTCTCTATGTACCGCGATTTATGCGGAGACACAATTGGGATATTTTAAATCGAATTAGAAAATGTAAATTACGGAAAATTAAAGCCATGTCCTCTATGATTTCAGTTGAATTTATAATACTAAGTAAGTATTTTTTTGCGATGGAGGTTTACTATTGTTTCTTAATTTGTTTGTGACGAAATCCACATAAAAAATATTTATAATAAACACAAAAATTGACTTAATAAACTAATACGAAAATACTACGAAAAACAAATAAATTTAAAAAAGAATAATTCAAAAAAGTTATGGGAACTTGTAAACGGTATTAATAAAAAAAAAGACAAATATTATCAAAAAAATTGTTAATAACAATATGGAACTAACCTCACCAGGCGAGTTAGCAAACAGCTTCAACACTTTTTTTGGTGGTATTGGTAAAAAACTTGAAGCATAAATAAGGACACCTAATACTCTAAAACTGGTTATAAAAAGAGTACGGAATTCTTTATTTTTGGAATTAACTTACATACTTTAATTCTTCATTAAATATTTCTTTGGCTGGGTGTGCAGATAAAATCCGATCTTTTAGAAATGAAAGTATAATTTTTTTAAACATCATTAAAATGGTACGAAGAATATCAGATTTTTGTAATTATTGAGAAGCTTAATTGAAATTCGTAGAAAAACTTTTCATCGAAACTTCAAATAAAATTGCCTTTCTGCTTTTCACTTGCAATATACCGTGTCTGTGCTTTAGTTCTATTTTTCTTGTTCCGATTTCCTTTAAATCGGAAAATGCATTCGTTAAAACTTCTAAAAGTTTCATTCAATTTGTTGAGCTCGGTTTAGGTATATGTATTTCTAGAAAAATAAAAAAGTTTTACTTTACTTCAACTAAACAATGAAATAATGTGGATTGTTTTATTTCGAAACAATTTTCTTTAGGTTAAATTTTTCTAAACTTAGTTGTTTTAATTAACGATTATGTTAATAAAAAATAAAAAACTAACGTGCCATTGAACAAAGCATAATTGGAGTTGGCTCTGAAATTTAATGTTTTTGGGTTGGTAGTCCATCCACTTCCAAAGAATTCCTAACTTTTACGCCAAACTCTTCAATTCTACGTCTATTCTCTTCGTTTGACATTTCGATAATGAGGAAATTGAAGCTTGGGCCCTTCTGACTTTCATTCTGCGCATGATTTATTTTTCTATTCGACGTTAATCTATACCGCGTTCTTTACATAATGCCGTTTTTCCCGTTTGAATCGAACTAGTAATATCCGAGAAACACGCTAAGGCCCTTCTGGAGATGGTCTTAGAGATACACCTCATTCTCTCTACGATAAAAGAGTACTCAAACAAAATTGGTTACATTCCCGAGGAAAACAGTGTTGCTTAGTACGCACAGAAATTTCAAAATTAACATCTGAAGGTGTTAGAAAAATACACATCGGAAAAAGAACTTTATGATAAATCCCCATGTAGATGTGATAGAGGTACCGAAGGAATAAGGCGGAGGGAAGAAGCTAACGAGAAACAAAGACAATTTTATAAAACAGAACGGGGAATGGAAATTAGGAATAATTATAAAGAAAAACAAATTAAGAAAAAACTAATTACAAGTTTACTGAAAATGGGCCTAAATAAAAACGTTGAGCTTCAAAGAGAGACAATTTTGAAACTCATTGAGTTACTGTAAATACTTAATACTGTTACTTTAAAAATATAATTTTGAAACAAAATGTATTTTATTTTCATTGTCCAATGTTGACTTTGCCCTATTACAAATAACTTTCCCCCATTTAAATTATTAGCAATATTTGTCCACACCAGCACTTTAGTGTCCAGAGTGAACTACACGTTTTCCGTTTAAAACGCATTGTTGACCAAGAACCTATAGATTAACTTCGAAGGCCCTTCTGGCTTTTCCTTCTGCGCATGATTTTTCTGTTCGCCGTTAATACAAATTTAATCCCTCACTCCCCCGTTACACGATCCATCCACGCATTAGTTTAGTTCTGACGGTCTTTAAAAAGTTCCCAGGCTCAAGTATCGGTACTCCTGCTTATATTCAACTGCAAATATGTTTTTCTAAGAAACATAAATAAAAAATAACTAACGAAATAATTATGATTTCAGAATTAAATGAATTATTTGTTTCTTTTATTGTTGCATTATCATTTCGAGGTAGTAAAGTTTGTTTATAATGAAAATGATAAGTAATAAATGTCAGTATGTGGAAAAGGAAAAATAATAACATAATAAATTCACTTTAATTATGATTTTTCTCGATAACTCGTTATAAGGAAAGCTCAATTTTAAAGGACACCATAAGTATTCAATGACTTTTACCTTACAATAGACAGTAATACTGGGAATTGCACACGTACACAGAAAAGTACTTTAGATAGAAATATCAAGATTAAAGTTTATCCCTAAGGAGCGAAGCACAGTTTCTTAGGAGAATTTAACAAAAATGTCAGAAAAGTCAACGAATGAGGCTAAATCGTAATATCTATTGAAATGGATCTATTGAAATTTGATGACCGTAAATATATAATTATTTAAGAAATAATACTAGAATTTTTTATTTAAAATTTACAAGCTGGGATTATATTAATATAATCCAGTCTTTGTTAATTCATATAACGCTTTCTGCGTATTAGGCTATCATCAGGATAATAATAATAATAATAATAATAATAATAATAATAATTATCATAATGTTTATTCAAATAATATGTATAATTACAAGTACAAGATAAATATATGTTTGTATATAACCTAAATTACAGTCAATAAAAAATGTATAATACGTAGGTGTTTTAAAACCGAATAAACAGGTTACTCCCTTGAAACCTAAAAAAAAGTTTTTGGGATTTTAATTTTAAGAAGTAAAAAATAAAATGCAGAAAACAACATAACTATAAAAACATATAGAATTAATAGGAAAGATAATGAATAAAAGCCAACAAAAAAGTTTAGTAAAAAAGTATTTTTAAGTATTTTTAAGTATTTTTAAGTATTTTTAAGTATTTTTAAGTATTTTTAAGTATTTTTAAGTATTTTTAAGTATTTTTAAGTATTTTTAAGTATTTTTAAGTATTTTTAAGTATTTTAAGTATTTTTAAGTATTTTTAAGTATTTTTAAGTATTTTTAAGTATTTTTAAGTATTTTTAAGTATTTTTAAGTATTTTTAAGTATTTTTAAGTATTTTTAAGTATTTTTAAGTATTTTTAAGTATTTTTAAGTATTTTTAAGTATTTTTAAGTATTTTTAAGTATTTTTAAGTATTTTTAAGTATTTTTAAGTATTTTTAAGTATTTTTAAGTATTTTTAAGTATTTTTAAGTATTTTTAAGTATTTTTAAGTATTTTTAAGTATTTTTAAGTATTTTTAAGTATTTTTAAGTATTTTTAAGTATTTTTAAGTATTTTTAAGTATTTTTAAGTATTTTTAAGTATTTTTAAGTATTTTTAAGTATTTTTAAGTATTTTTAAGTATTTTTAAGTATTTTTAAGTATTTTTAAGTATTTTTAAGTATTTTTAAGTATTTTTAAGTATTTTTAAGTATTTTTAAGTATTTTTAAGTATTTTTAAGTATTTTTAAGTATTTTTAAGTATTCTTAAGTATTTTTAGGTATTTTTAAGTATTTTTTAGGTATTTTTAAGTATTTTTAAGTATTTTTAGGTATTTTTAAGCATTTTCAAGTATTTTCAAGTATTTTCAAGTATCTTCAAGTATCTTCAAGTATTTTCAAGCATTTTCAAACATTTTCAAGTATTTTCAAGTATTTTCAAGTATTTTCAAGTATTTTCAAGTATTTTCAAGTATTTTCAAGTATTTTCAAGTATTTTCAAGTATTTTCAAGTATTTTCAAGTATTTTTTTTTTCAAGTATTTTCAAGTATTTTCAAGTATTTTCAAGTATTTTCAAGTATTTTCAAGTATTTTCAAGTATTTTCAAGTATTTTCAAGTATTTTCAAGTATTTTCAAGTATTTTCAAGTATTTTCAAGTATTTTCAAGTATTTTCAAGTATTTTCAAGTATTTTCAAGTATTTTCAAGTATTTTCAATTATTTTCAAGTATTTTCAAGTATTTTCAAGTATTTTCAAGTATTTTCAAGTATCTTCAAGTATCTTCAAGTATTTTCAAGTATTTTCAAGTATTTTCAAGTATTTTCAAGTATTTTCAAGTATTTTCAAGTATTTTCAACTATTTTCAAGTATTTTCAAGTATTTTCAAGTATTTTCAAGTATTTTCAAGTATTTTCAAGTATTTTCAAGTATTTTCAAGTATTTTCAAGTATTTTCAAGTATTTTCAAGTATTTTCAAGTATTTTCAAGTATTTTCAAGTATTTTCAAGTATTTTCAAGTATTTTCAAGTATTTTCAAGTATTTTCAAGTATTTTCAAGTATTTTCAAGTATTTTTAAGTATTTTCAAGTATTTTCAAGTATTTTCAAGTATTTTCAAGTATTTTCAAGTATTTTCAAGTATTTTCAAGTATTTTCAAGTATTTTCAAGTATTTTCAAGTATTTTCATGTATTTTCAAGTATTTTTCAAGTATTTTTAATAGTTTTAATATGTTCAACCATTTAGTATTATATATTTTCATTTTTTGTTATTAAAATTCTATTAAGGTATACTGTCTTTCCCACCCGTTAAGTTAAATGGTTATTACAGTTGGACGATGTAGTAATTAACTAAAATATAATAAAAATAATAAATTAAACTACAGTCTAATATAATTCAAAGACTACAATGAATTAAATCACACTGTACATGAATACGAGAACGTATTTGACAAAAAAGAATAATTAAACTCGCTAAAAAAGGATCTCCTACATGATATCCTTAATAGCCTCGGCCATAATGGCTGCCATAAAAATAACAATCATCTACCGTCATACGTAATATTCGATTTCAAGCGATTCGATCGAACAGTCGATCCGCCGGTTGTCGCTTGTCGCGCGAGGGTGACAAATAATTCTGTTCGTTATCATTTATTTTGTTTCGCCTAATATATCGATCAGCGGCCAGACAGCATGGAATTATGATGCCGACACGTGCTGATAGCCGAGATGGTGACTGTTAAGTTGAATATTACACCAGTCGATCATCGTTTATACAGGGTACGTATACAGGGTGGCCACTTTTTAATTGGAATGTATTGCTACCTCGTAAACCCATAGTGACACGCCAAGTAACAAATTGATATTTTATCAAAGTTGATAAAATGTTTATACTAGTAAAACAGAATATGAACTATTAGCAATAAAAATGGGTGCATTATTACAGAACTATTTAGTATATTTAAATATATAAGGTTTGATAAAAGCAATTACTGTATACTTACTTACAAATTTATTTAAAAAACTTGTGAACCTATTTGTGGTTAAAAACTCTAATAGTCCTTAGGGGTAGAAAAGCCAATGCTTTGCAAAAAATTATAATACTTTTCCTATAATTTACCCCCTTACGGGTGCATTTTAATCCCAAAAGTTGACTGAGCTTGTCCGGGTAAAAGACGGATATTATTATTATTTGCAGTGGCACTCGGGGTCGATTTAAAGATGATTGATGCTGCCATTTGACTTAGATGTGAGGAAAAACCCAGAAAACCCCACCCACTATCATCAAAACGCTAATGCATGGCGATTTATGATCTGGATGTTATATCAATAGTAATTAAATTACTGCTAATACGACACCAATCAAATCCTAGAACGAATCATGCAAATTAATTAACAATTCACATGGTTTAGTCTAGGATCCGAAGCCGCATGTCGCTCAACCACAAAATTGCATGTAAGTGAATACTGGGGCTCGAGAAAACTACGCAACCGAGACGAGTATTTTCATAACTGATAATATTAACTGGGTAGGCAATCGAACGACAAAGAAAATGAATAAACAGTAAAATGTACTTAATAATTTATTCATTTTAATATTACTAGAATTACTCAAAATATATCTAAGTCAAGATTTTTCATTTTTAAAATAAGCTATCTATAGCCAACCCAACGTTAGCTATGGGCAACCCTTTGAGTCCCTTATTAGCAGTTCTATTTCTAGATTCTCACTGATAGATATGAAGAGTAGAGATAAGAAGGCGAATCGGCATACTCAAAATACGGTCCCACAAAACCCCTGGTTAATTGAGCTTCTTCAATTAACCGCATGGGCGGTGGTACTGCATACGGTGTTCAAAATACATGGTTTCTTATGGGAATTATACATAATTTTCTCAAAATAATAAAAATAAACTTGTTTGTAGCTAAATAAAGCACAGAACATACTGTTGTATTTATTTTTAAATAAGTCTTGCATATTTTAATTGATAAATTATTTAATTTTATCTATATAAAATACAATTTAGGTATGTATGACCAAATTCAAAAAGGGTTCTTAAACGCTGAAATACAATTTTCTGGCAATTTTTTTTTAATTGAACCAATATATAGTTTTAAGAGTAAAATAAAACACAGTTAACAGATTTTTTATTGTTGTAATACAAGTATAAAGGGAGGTTTGGGAATGTACGTGGTATTACCTCATCTTTTAATTTCAGCTTTCCCCTTTTTATTTTGTTAACAGTACCATCAGTAAAAATAGTCTCATAATATTTGATATCTTCTAAAAAGTATAGAGTAGCATCATCTCTAGAAAGTGCTTTATCGGCACTAGGAATGATATATATGCTGCCATTGTTCTAAACGTTTAGTATCAAATAAAAATCATTTACAATGACACAATAAGAGTAGCAACTCTTTATCTAACATTAAAACTCTATAAAACATTAATTTTCTTTTCTAGTAAGTTAAATTTAATGCATAATAATTGTTGTTTGTAAGTCAGCATATATGACTGTAAAATTTTATATTATAGAAACTTGTTAAAATAAACTACACTTCGTAAGATACATATTGAGTCATTTATTTTAACAGCTTGTAGAACTCGTCAAAAGAAGTCGATATACCAAAAATCACCTAAATAAAAGTTGCATATTAAAAGAAATAAAAAGGAATTTCAAAATTTTAAAACTAAAATACAAACTATTTATCCGCATATTTTAATATTCCTGACCACTGCCAAGTAAAAACTTATCGTTGTTTGTTTACTACGACAATTTTACTTATCTAGGTACGGCTATTTTTTTTGTTTTACGGTTTTGAGAACGATTTTCGGTTAGTTATTGGTATCAAGCGTTTAGTTCGTATCACTTTAATTTTTTTGATATTTTGTACGGAAAAATGGCACACGTTTATGGAAACAATGAACTAGTGGACATAATACTAACATACGGAGAGTGCCAACAAAATGCAGCCGGAGCATGTCGCCTTTGCGCGGAAAGGTTTCCATTAAGAAATCATCCGGCTCCACGGATGTTTGTAAATTTAGTTATTCGACTTCGCGAGACAGGATACTTGAAAGAACAACGAGGGAGTCACGCTGGAAGACCTGCTCCACCTGAAATGGTAGAAATTGGGGAAAATATTTTGGAAATGGTGGAAGATGACCCAACAATAAGTACCGGAGCCATAGCAACTCAAGTCGATGTTTCCCATAGTAAAGTTTGGAAAACAATACGACAGGAACAATATTATCCTTATCATTATCAACAGGTACAAGCATTACAACCTAAAGATCATCCTGGAAGAGTTGAATTTTGCCAGTGGTTTTTACAACAGAAATGAAGATTTTACAAAAATAATTTTAGTTAGAGACGAATTCACATTTACACGAAATGGGATATTCAATTTTCACAACAATCATGTTTGGGCAGTAGAAAATCAGCATGCCGTAAGAAGATCTAATTTCCAACATAGATTTTCATTAAATGTTTGGGCTGGTGTACTTTTTTCCACCTCGGCTAACCGGTGACATTTATTTAGATTTTCTTCGACACCATCTGCCAGAATTATTAGAAGATGTTCCACTGAATGTTAGGCAGGATATTTAGTTTCTACATGACGGAGCTCCACCGCATTTCAGAAGAGGAGTTCGTGAATATTTGAATGAACAGTTTCCGAACAGATGGATAGGGAGGAATGTACCCGTTTCTTGATCTGCACGCTCCCCGGACCTAACGCCTTGTGATTTTGTCTGTGGGGTTATTTAAAACAGTTGGTGTATCATGATGGAGAAGTAAATACTGTGGAAGAACTTCAAGACCGCATTGTAAATGCTTGTGATGTTATCCGGATTTTATTTTTGAGGCCTGTCAGGAGTCGTGGGTATGCCGAACAAGACTATGAATTAATCGGACAAATGGTAACAATTTTGAACAATTTTTTGTAAAAATGGAATACATTTTACCGATAATGAATGTTTTTAATATTAAAAAAATCTATAACTCCATTATTATGCAACTTTTATTTAGGTGATTTTTGGTATGTCGACTTCTTTTGACGAGTTCACTTAAATTTAGTAACTTTGTCATTAATCATTATTTGTTCTCTTTTTTATATAAACTTTTTAGAATTTATATATATTTATATTTAAGATGAGTATTTACTTTACTTTGAAGCAGAGCATGCAAAGGTTTCGTAGTATCCCACTTTTAAAGATTATTTTTGACTTTTTGTAAAATAAAAAATATGTGCGTTTAGGTAAAAGGTAAATCTGTGCTCCTCTGGAGACAATCTTTTAAAATTTCTGTTTTCTAAAAAAAAAATACAAAACTCGACTTTTTTTACCCATTTTCTCAATTTTTTTTAGAAAAAACAATCAAATTTTAAAAAAGTGGTTTAAGAGGAGCATAGATTTAACCTTTTCCTATACGCCCATATTTTTTCTTTTAGAAATAGTCAAAAATAAACTTTAAAAGTGAGGTGAGATTTTTAAGAAATTAATATTTGTGAATGAAAACGATTAATAATATATTTTACTGATGTTTTACGAGGGATGAATAAATTTTACGTATTTGTACAACTTATTTTTTACGTAATTTATTTCTGTAATACTAAGATTGATTATATGCAAGGGTTTCATACTACACCAATTTTACGGATTATTTTTTATTTTTACTAAAATAAATTTTATGTAAGTAAATAATGCAGGGACAAAACCCAATAAGCCAACTACATAACGCCGACCACACAAGGCTATATCAGCAAGTAAAAAGGGATAATATTCTAGCTATGCCTACTGATAGAGCCATAACCACATACAAATTTGAAAGAAATTTTCAAATTCAAATACTAGCCCGAGAATCCTGGAAACAAAGACCTCCCGTACAGGCTGAACTCGTCTGGTACACAGACGGTTCAAAAACCAAGGAAGGAGCCGTTGCTGGAATCTATGGACCTAAGTCGAAATCAACGATTTCACTAAGCTTAGGAAAATATGCAACAGTGTTCCAGGCTGAGCTAATAGCCATACAACACTGTGCAAGAGAAATATTAAATCAGCAAGTATCAGGCAAAACTATTGCCATATACTCTGATAGCCAAGCAGCTCTAAAGGCAATTCTCTCACCAGAAATCAAATCACGACTGGTGAAAGACTGTCTAGAAGACCTGACAGAGCTAAGTAGTCAACATAAGGTGACCTTAGCCTGGGTTCCAGGCCATGAGGGATATCAGGGCAACGAAAAGGCCGACGAATTAGCCCGAGAAGGCTCAGATAAGGCCATGACAGGCCCTGAACCCTTCTGTGGAGTTGCTAAGGCATTGTGCAAGGCATCCATTAAACAATGGATGCAAAAAGAGTCTCAGGAATGGTGGAACAACTATCCAAGACTGAGACAGGCCAAACAGTTCATCAAGGAACCATCGGCCAAGTTTACGAAAGACCTACTGGATCAAAAACGTCAAATCGTTAGGATAACAGTAGGCCTTCTTACTGGACACTGTCGCCTCAAAAGGCACATGAGTGTCATAAATCCAGCAGAAGAAGCAACTTTGTGCAGGTTCGGTGAAGAAGAAGAAGAGGAAACATCATTCCACGTCCTGTGCCAATGTGAAGGCTTGGCTGGAATGAGGTTTCTAACATTGGGCGAAGAAAAGTCAATTGCATGCAACTACATGCGGGAGCCACAGTCAAAGCTACTAAGTCTAATAAAAAAGACCAGGCTAGACGACATACTCTAAAACAAACGGAGTCCCACAATAGATCTGAAAAGGTCGCGGTGAACAAGGACAAATAACGTCCAACTCCTAATCTAATCTAATCTATGTAAGTAAAGTTAAAGGCTTAAGGCCAATGCCCACTACATTGAATCATACTATGACTGTGACCGTACCGGCATAGGCAGAAAAATATTCTTTGTATAGATTTAAATAAGACAATGTCCACTAGACCGGCCCGGCATCGACCAACACCATCCTCATTTGAATCTATACAAAAAAAATCAGGTCCGGGCAGGGTCATAGTATGGTAGGGTATAGTGGGCATAAACCTTTAATCCATACCTCTCTGGAGTCACTTTACAAAAATAAACTAGATAATAATGAAAATCAAAAATCGACTAAAAGTGACTAAAATTGACTAAAATCGACTAAAAGCGACTAAAATTGACTAAAGCCGATTAAAATCGACTAAAATCGACCAATATTAAAATAGTCATTAAAAAACTGATACGTGACAAAAAAGACTTGAAGAGCTAAAGGTCCTCGGCGCGTCCAGCATCGGGTCAACAAAAAGAATTTAGTTTAATGAGCTAAAAAATATAAAGGTTGTCACCTGTCGCGTTGGGTTAAAAAAGATATAATCAGCCTAAATTATAGGGGCGCTAGTCAAATGTTCCTTCCGCCTGCACTGATCCAAGAGGTACTTTATAGGAGGTCGTTTTTTAACTTTATGGAATATATCTGTTACTTACGTTTGAAGAAGAAATTTCTTTAAATAAATTTTTCTTGTAATATTATTCTTTATAATTTTTGTCCCATAATTTATCTAAAATGGTCCGTATTTGAGAAATTGGACAAAATGTGCAAAATTCGAATTTTTAAGAAAATTGTTTACGTTCTTTACATCTGGGGGGGGGGGGTATTATAAGAGGTCGTTTTTCTACTTTATGGAATACTCGTATATCTGTTATTTAGGCTTGATGAAGAAAATTCTTTAAATAGAAGTTGCTTTTAATGTTATTCTCTATAATTTTTGTTATATACATGATTTTTCTAAAATGGACCATAATGGAAAAATTTGAGGAAAAGAGTAAAATTTTATTTTAGTACAATACATTCTAATTCAATTTTTATTTAAACATTTCTAACTTTTGAAATTTTTGACGAATATTTAATAATATTTTCAATTATTGAAATACTATGCTTATAATAAATTAATATTGTTTTTGTTCCATAAAGTAAAGAAAAACGAGTTTTAGAAATATCTTGATTTTTGTTGAACATAGGCCAATTTACCAACCTCTTGTCGCGTAAATTCTATAGGGTGTTCTAACAATTATTTATGTCAGTAATTCGTTTGGTCGTTAACAAATAATAGTATATAACAACGAGAATTGGGATAATGATCAAGAAGTCCTTAATACGTGATCGTATTTTAAATTATTAACAATGACGAACAAACCTGTAACTTATTAATATTATTGAAGATTTATTGATAATTATATCTAAATATGTAGTATTTTATTGGTATACCTTTTATTGTGCCAATATTTTGTATTCATCAATCGATAAGTAGAGTGGATGAACGTTTAGAAAGAAGATGAAAAATGAGCAGGAAATATACACTGTGTTCACTTAAAATCGATATTTTATTATTATTCCAAAATTACACAATATGTTATCATCTCTAAACTTCAGAAAGTTTTTATAACTGCAGAAAATAAAAGAATTTTTTATATTATTTGCATCAAAAGATGTCGATGGTTTGTTTTCTTTTTGAATCTCAACAAATAACTCAGCTCATTCTACTTATCCGGGTTCAGAAATAAGCAACCTAAAATATTTACCAATTCAGTAAAAGATTGAGCTATGATATACTTACTGGTAATTATTTTGTCGAACAGGCATCTTTGTCTGAGCATCTTTTAAATTATTGTATGGAAGATTCCTGTAAATAAAATAATATTTTAATAATAAACAAGATTAATTATTACAAGAACAATTATTTAATTGGCAGCAAATATATTTAGAAATACTGTTTGTTTTTATTGTTTTGGCCTTTATACTACATGAAAATTCATTACTAGGAGAAAAACCAAAATTTGGTTGATATTCACATAAATAATTTTTTTATGATCAACATTATAATGTTTGGCATTAGTATTTGTAATTACTTTAAGGATGAATGTAATAAAACTGGAATTGAGAATTAATCACTTTATTTTTAACCTCCATTGCATGTCTCATCCCTAATGTCTGCTGTCAACTGTCTGTCGAGTGCCAAGTGTCAGCTCTTCTTATTTAGACTACTGTGGCCTCGTACTTACTTACATCCTAACAAACATTACCTATGTTTTGAATTACGAATTATTCTTTAGGTGTGACTGACAGAAAACAAAACATAACGGTAACATTCTTTACCTAACAAACAACTTTGACAATTTATAATCTAACTACAATAAATGTTATTTAACTGGTTAAAATTATAATACTAAATCCTAAAGTACAAACAAAACTCTAAAGCAGTGGTCGCCAACCTGTCGATCGCGAGCTACCGGTAGCTCGCGGAGGCAATTCTGGTAGCTCTCACAACGATTTTAATTTAAAAAATACAAACTGCAAAAATCAGAGAAGCTTCCGAAAATTCCACAAAAAAATCTAATTGCCATAATATTAAACATAAACAGCGGCAACGTTGCGGTGAGCGATCTGCCGCTGACGCCATCAAGTTAGAATCGGCTAGAACCGACCAGCCGGACCAGCACGTTAGTGTTCGAGAACGATCAGGATTGCTTTGAACGGGATAATATTAAGGCAAGCAGTTGTAAGAAGGTAAAGACATACCACTTTCATTCGGAATGGGAAGAACAATACTTTTTTATAGAAGTTAAAGATAAAAATGTGTGTTTGTTATGTAATACTTCGGTTTCCGTTGCTAAAAAAGGAAATATTGAGAGACATCATAAAACTGTACATTCTAATTTTGAAAAATCATTCCCACTACATTCTGCCGCCAGAAAGAAGAAACTAAACAGTTAAAAAAGCAGTTAATTGGACAACAATCAATATTTTTAAGAACAGTCGACAAAAATAAGGCTGCAACTGAAGCATCGTACCGTGTGTCCCAGATAATTGCACAAAAAAAGAAACCTTATGAAGACGGGGAAATGATAAAACAGGCGTTTTTAGAAGCTGCTGATTCGTTATTTGCCAACTTTAGAAATAAAGACGAGATAGTTTCAGCTATAAAATCTATGCAACTTTCTTCTAATACAGTGATGAGACGTGTAGAAGTAATGAGCAATGATATTTTTTACAGTTAAAAACTGACTTAGATAACTGTGTTTATTTTTCACTTCAACTGGATGAATCAACAGATGTCGTTGACACTGCCCAGATGGGCGTGTTCGTCAGGATGGTTTTTAGTGATTTTACGATTAAAGAAGATCTTTTGAAGTTTATTCCACTGAAAGGACACACTACTGGACAGGAGTTGTTTTTTTCATTTAAAAAATATTTCTTCCGAGAAAATTCCAATATCGAAAATGGTAGGCTTGACAACCGATGGCGCTCCAGCTATGGTGGGTTGTGATAAGGGTCTGTCGTAAAGATGAAACTTTTCCGCAATTTCTCTGTTACCACTGCATTATCCATCAGCAAGCATTATTATGTTAAAAGCTGGAGTTTTGGGAATAAAACCTAATTAACAGCTATGCCAAGCATTTTCCTATTCTTTCAGAAAAAATATCTCAAAATCCATTAGAACCCTATGACAGCAAATATCATGTAGAAATAGTTTCTACCCTGAAGAATAACTTCAAAAATCGTTTTAAGGATTTCAACGAAATGGCTTTAGTAGCGCAGTTTGTTGTTTCACCCTTTATGGAAATTGATATCCAACAGTTTGCAACTTGTGTTATGCAGAACTTTGGCGAAGACATCGCTGCAACAGAAATGGAAGTAATTGAGTTTCAAAATGATTTAGCCTTAAAATCGTTAGTCTCAAGTACCAAATGTATTTGGCCTATTGTAAGTAAAGACAAATATTCAGTTCTATGCCGTGTTGCCTTGAAAGTGAAAGCATTATTCAGTTCAACCTATTTGTGTGAATCTTCTTTTTCCAATATGAAGTTTATTAAGAACAAATATCGCAATCGACTTACAGATGAACATTTGGATAATTGTATTCGAATGGCTGTATCAAATTATACTGCAAACATTAAAAAAATTATCGATGAGTCTGAGTGTCAGCCTTCCCATTGAACGTGCTTTTTTATTTTTCAATGTTTATGTTCATGATAGTGCGTTACTTTTTTGTTGTTATTATTAACTATTTTTAAATCTTACGTGACATGCCGTTGTGGCTGGATAAAAGTTTGTGTTTATTTTTCAAACACCTTCGTTTGGTAGGTAGGAATGTAGCTATGAACAAGTACGTACTAGTAATATTAGTTATTTTGTTATTAGTTTATTATTAGTACCTATGTATTATGTATTACCAGTTAATTAGTAAAATAAATACATATAATGATAAATTAACTGTGGATTATTTCATTTACGTTGCGTTACGTGGCTTCCGTGTGGGTAGCTCGCTGTTTATTCCAAAATTAACAAAGTAGCTCAACACATTGAGAGGTTGGCGACCACTGCTCTAAAGAAATTAGGTACATTTAAAATAGAAGTATTTCTCGATATTTTTGGTCCACCCTGATTGATTATAAAAAAATAAAAATTATCTCTGACCAGAACTAACTACTTACATGTATTTTAAAAACCCTGTATTACGAAATATATCCTATATTGTTGCTTCTACTATCCCTATATTTGTATTTCAGGAGAACACGTCCCAACGCCGAATATTGTCATCAGTTCGAAGTCGGTTAGGACAAATAGCCTCGACCCTGCAGGCGGCCGTCAGGTTTCGGCGGTTCTCACGCAAAGACTCGCACCCCGCCCCCGACTGGTTCGTGGACAAGGGCAGGCAGGATGACGGCGGCGCGAACAGGGACGAAGAAATGGGACCCACTTGTTGGGGTCGGAGGATCGTGGTCGATCCCACTCGGCTTTCGCACTATGTGGTAAGTGTAACCGTAGTTGTACGATTAGAATTAGATTTAGATTGGAATTCACGGTTCAGTTCGTTTATTCTCCGATTCGATTAGGAAATAGGTACTTTTTTGTATCATTATAAAAGTCAAATTAGGTCATAAGAGTAACAAATTGAAACACTAAAAATCATGTATAACATACAATTTTATTAAAATTAAAAAAAGGGGGCTCAGGCCTACAAAAAATTTACAATAATGATAATATATAGATTAGAATCCTGTAGTAGTCATAGAAATAATATAGAAGACCAATATAAACATAACATTTAAGCAGAAATTGAAACCTACTGTGCATAAAAACGCGTCTCTGCGCCTGACATCGCAAAATAGTGTGTCTAGAAGCTTGCGCAATAAGCATGACTTGTCCCTGTAGTGTTGCCAAATATATTAAACATACCTAACAGAAAAGAATTTTAAATTAATTAATTTTTAAATTATATGATTTAAACAGTTTATATCTACGAAATATCGCCACAAAATAACTTATAAACATTTAAATAATCAACTAATAATATTTATGTGTAATTACATTCCCAAAAATATATACAAATACTGTATTAATGTCATTAATACCGTATTTTTAATGTTCAATAAGCGATTCACCTACAAATTCAATATTGACCTGGCAATAGCACTAAAATCCGATGTTTCAAGGTTATATGACGCTGCCCTTACAGGACCGTTTGTAGTTTATTATTTATGCCGCGTTTGAGAATCCACATCGGATGCATCTGAGATGTAGTAAGTAGTAAATCTTTGATCACGTGATTCAGTATACGTAAATGTAATGGGACAGATGTGTCCGATGTGGATAAAAAACGCTCGAGATGTAAAAAATGCATCCAATGTGGATTCTCAAACGCGGCATTAATTACACGATGAAAGTGGCATTTTATTTTTAGTTTTGTGTAGTGTTTAGTCAAATCCTAGGTACAATAAAAGACATTTTTACATTGGCTAATGAAAATGTAATCAATGTATTAGGCAGCTGTTATATTTATTACAAGATTTATGTCTGCAAATCTAAACCTACCTAAGAATTATAATTATGTAAATAGAGAGCTGTATATTTATATACAGGCTGCCCAGCGACGGGGAGACATTATCGATATCGGTTTTAAGGCATTTTAAAACATAAACCCGATCTCAACAATCTTAGGAACTCTTCTGTCACTCGATATTTTAATCGGTACTTCCTCTTCGCTTTTTGGCTGGCACAACAATTATTTACATTTCTTCATTCCTTACCGCGTTCGAACCAGTAAGGTTTAAAGAAATTTAAAAAAAAACTACTTTAAAAATAAAGATGTTAATGATTTTCTTATGGATCCCATCTTCAGATCTTGACTTAATGTATATAAAACTGTTTCCTTTTCTAACAAAAATAATCCTAGAAATCGGGCAACGTGGTAAAGAATTATCGCTCAACATACATAAAAAAAATATTTCAACGAATTGAGAATATCCTACCATTTTGAAGTATGTTAAAAAAAAATTGTTAATAAAGTGAAAAGTAGGGCATGAACATATATTATAAAGTATATAAAATGATAGATAAATCCAGTTTAGAAGGTATTATAAATAAACTGTGGAAATATCGAGAATCTCGATTTTGAATCGGAAAAATATTCTACGCAATTTAGTATGAAAGCTGATCAAAATGAAACACATGAACGACAAACTGTTATATTGACAATTTTCTTCAAACGTTTTCTATTTTTCCGAAAACTAACTAGATAGTTCGAAAATCATTTCCTTCGTTAAAACGCCTCTTGTTCCGAAAAAGGTACACGCCTGCCAACAGTCATCGTTCATTAAAAAATCTGATGTGTCCAACACATGACTTTCCTATCTAGTTATTACAGGCTTTTTCCGGTTATTTTGTACAACCTATTGCAGCATCTCTATAAATGTTTAGAGGATAAACTAAATATATACATTGTCCACATACATCTACCGCGAAACATTTTTCTATAGATATTCATTGAAAATGAAAATACTGAAAAATTTAAATTTAGCACTTTTCCTACAATTTTTCCGTTACGGTCCATTTTAAAAAAATCATGTATGAACAAATATTATAGAGATCGATATAGCAAACAACTTTTATTTCAACAATTTTCATAAAAATCAGAATTTTGCACATTTTGTCAAATTTTTCGAATACGGACCATTTCAGGAAATTTTTACAAAAAGCAAAAATTATAGATAATAATATTAGAAGTAACTTTTATTTGAACAATTTTTTTTCTCCAAACATAAATAACAGATATATTCCATAAAATATAAAAACGGCCTCCCATAAAGTACCCCCCCAGATGTTCCGACTTTGTCCAAAATCTAATCATTTTACGTCAGTCCGAAATAAACCTTAAGTTTAAAATTTAATGTTTTTTTCTTTATCCGTTTTTGAGTTTTCTTCAAAATTCGAAATTTACACATTTTCTCAAATATCTCGAATACGGTCCATTTTCGAGAAATTATGTATAGAATAAAAATTATAGAGAATTATATTACAAACAACTTTTATTTGAACAATTTTTATAAAAATTATTTTTTTTTACATTTTGTCAAATTTCTCGAATACGGACCATTTTAGGAAAATTTTGCATAGAACAAAAATTATAGATAATTATATTAAAAGTAACTTTTATTTGAAGAAATTTCTTCTCTAAACGTAATAACATATATATTCCATAAAATATAAAAATGACCACCCATAAAGTACCCCCCCAGATGTTCCGACTCTGCCCAAAATCTAATCAGCTCATTGGACGCTAAAACAAACCTTAAGTTTAAAATTTGGTGTTTTTTTGTGTATCGGTTCATGAGTTATGCGTATGGTATGCGTATGGTCCGTATTCGAGAAATTTGACAAAATGTAAAAAAAATTATTTTTTATAAAAATTGTTCAAATAAAAGTTGTTTGTAATATAATTCTCTATAATTTTTATTCTATACATAATTTCTCGAAAATGGACCGTATTCGAGATATTTGAGAAAATGTGTAAATTTCGAATTTTGAAGAAAACTCAAAAACGGATAAAGAAAAAAACATTAAATTTTAAACACACACAGACACACACACAGACAGACAGACATCATCGCGAAAATAGTCAAAACGGATTCAGGGGACCTCAAAACGTAAAAATCCGTCGAAAACTCGAGGTCGAAAAAAATCATGATTCCTATACTTTCCTTATATCTGTATACAGATAGGAAAGTAAAAAGTGGTAGATACAAAACGCTTCGTATTGTAAGGCCAAAATATATTTAGAAATCGAAATAGTCATATAAACAAAAAACTCATATGAGTGAGATAACTACCAAATTAATGATTTACAAGTTTATTCCTATTATTTATAAAATAGGTTTGCAATGTGCTGGTGTGGAATGTTATCATCGACTAAAAACTTTAAATCTTTGTATTAAATTGATCGAAAACAAACTATAAATTGGTTTAGGCTATATAGAATGTTTCTAGTAAGCAGCAACTAATTTTTATTATGGAACCGAAAGACCCTTTTAAAAAGGTTCAAAATTAAAATAAAATATGTACCAAGTAAATGTAGTAGTATTTTTTAATTTTTTAATTTATATTGAAAATGGTAACATGAAAGGTTTTCTGTCTAACGACTCATAGTCTCGGCTGACAAAATGTAAAAAAATATCGAACATAATATTCCTGGGCCCTATTTTGCACTCCCCAGATTAAATTTAGTTGTAGCAAATGATATTATCAAATAAGATGTCAAATCACAAGCAAAATCTCGTGACTACAGTACCAATGATTGCCTGTTTGGAAAAGTATCTTTGTTTGTAAATATTTATATGCATAGTTATATTTAAATGCGCGAGTGTAATGTTAAGTATAAACAAAATCCGCCCATTATGTATATACGTTTAGTTACCGACCCTAGTAGATAGGCAATTTGTTATTGTTTTAGGTTTTACCGTAGGGAGAGAGAAAATCAATATTAGGATAAATGGTCCAGCTCCTTTCTGGTTACGTAGGTACCTTAAAAGTATTTTAGTTTTTGGTTAAGTAATTAATTATTGTAACAGTGATTTTCTTGTGATAGTACCTAATTTAGATTGTGGATTAAAGTTTTTGTATATAATTTCGCTGTTTAATAATAAACGTAGTCAAAACCGGAGCACGTGGTTTTTCTGGAAAGTATTTTTAAAATCACAAGCAAAATATCATGACTACTATACTAATGATTGCCGAAAATTAACTAATTCATATTTTATGCCATATCTTTCTTAATAAGGACTGTCAGAACCATATTTACCTTAACTTGAAATTTTTTTAATCGTTTTTTGTATAGAATCATCTCTAAAAATGTATGATTGAAATATCGTGCGAACTATTTGTTCGATCAATAAAAAACTTGCACCGGTCCTGTTCGCGCCAGCACCGTTATACGCATGAGCTCCGACACACTATTTTCTCCTTATGGTTTCATTTTTGATATATGGAATCGGCTTTCTATACTATTTCTATGGTAGTAGTATATTACACACCGAGGTGGGAAGCGTTTCATTCCTGTCGTGAGATTAGTTAGATCACAGAGACGCGAAGCGTCGAGGTACAACCATCATATTTCTATCAAAGTTAATAAATAAAAAATAAATAAAAATGTAACAATCAATAATTATATAAAGTATACAGTGTATAACAAAAGTTAATCACTAGATTATGTTGATGACCAACACTTCCTAGAGACTACATGACTTAGACAAACCTAACCCTTGAATACAAAAATTAAATTTTGGATTAGATTAAGGGGTGACCCAATTCAAAATTTAATTTCCCCTTAATCTAGTGACTACGTGACAAACCTAACCCTTGAATACAAAAATTAAATTTTGAATTAGTTAACCGCTTAGGGGTTACCTATCTGCAATTATCTTTTCAGTAGATAAATATTTTATTTTTACAACACTATTTTCGACAACTTCCTTAA